TTTTTTGAGACAGAGTCTTGCTCTGTTGCCCAGGCTGGAGTACAGTGGCATAATCTCGGCTCACTGCAGCCTCTGCCTCCTGGGTTCAAGTGACTCTCGTGCCTCAGCCTCCCTAGTAGCTGGGATTACAGACTAGGATTACTGGGTGCCACCACACCAAGTAATTTTTGTTTTATTTTGTTTTTTCCTAATAGAGACAGGGTTTCAACATGTTAGCCAGGCTGGTCTCAAACTTCTGACCTCAAGTAATCTGCCCACTTTGGCCTCCCAAAGTGCGGGGATTACAGGCTTGAGCCACTGTGCCTGACCTTAAGTTTCAGTTAAATAATTTTAAAAGTTTTTCTTATTCTTTCCAGAAAACCATTTCATTAATGTGTTAGCTTTACTTGGTAGAACATAAGCTTTAAATCAGTGCATCTCAAACTTCCCAACAACAGAAAGTAAACTGACATTCCCAGGATGTCTGAGAGTCTATAACCCAAAACTATTTTAGGTTACTTGCCATTGATTAAGATAGGAATTTCCAGATGTCTTACTATTCAGCTCTGTATCTTACAGCTGTATATATCCAACATGTACCAACCTGTTTTGGATTCGTGGCTTTAAATTATTGTCCCACTTATTTATCCATGTTCTTATATCAGCTCCTCTTTACAATTAATGTTGTACATTTTCAGGATTGGTAGTTAATGGGCGGTCCAGAGGAAGTGATGTCAGCAAGATGGCTGACTAGAAGCCCCTAGTGCTTGCTACCCTCACAAAGAAAGCCAGAAAAACAGATAAACAACTACATTTTTTTTTAACGGAGTCTCGCTCTGTCACCCAGGCTGGAATGCAGTAGTGTGATCTCGGCTCACTGCAACCTCCGTCTCCCAGGGTCAGGCAATTCTCCTGCCTCAGCCTCCCAAGTAGCGGGGATTACAGGCACCCACCACCATGCCCAGCTAATTTTTGCATTTTTAGTAGAGACGGGGTGTCACCATGATGGTCAGGCTGGTCTCAAACTCCTGACCTCAGGTAATTCACCCACTTCAACCTACCAAAGTGTTGGGATTACAGGCATGAGCCACCATGTCCGGCCTTTTTTTTTTTTTTTTTTTTTTTTTGAGATGGAGTCTTGCTTTTGTCGCCCAGGCTAGAGTGTAATGGCATGATCTCAGCTCACTGCAATCT